TCAAAACTTATTATGTTCACATAAATGTCTGCACATGAATGTTCATAGTAGTTTATTAACAGTAACCAAAACCTGGAGTTAGCCCAGGTATCCTCCTGTGGGTGAATGGTTAAACAAAAGGTGATACATCCAACTCATGGAATACTGCCTAGTCATAAAAAGGAACAAACTATTGAAACAGGTTACAATTTGGAGGGGGATTATGCTGTGTGAGAAAAACCCATTCTAAAAGACTATATTGTATATGATTCCATCTATGTAACATTTTTGAATTGGCCACATTTTAGCAATAGAGGATAGATTAGTTGCCAGGTGTTGGTGATGAGACAAAAGGACATGCTGAATGAGGAAGGCATGGTGTTGGTGTGTTCAGTAGTTTGTGGTGGTGGACAATTGAACCACACAGGTGTTAAAAATGTATATAACTCGGGGCGCCTGGGTGGCTCAGTCGGTTAGGCGGCTGCCTTCGGCTCAGGTCATGATGCCAGGGTCCTGGGATTGAGCCGTGCATCGGGCTCCCTGCTCGGCGGGGAGTCTGCTTCTCCCTCCCCCACTCCCCCTGCTTGTGCTCTCTCTCTCTCTCTCTTGCTGTGTCTCTCTGTCAAATAAATAAATAAAAATCTAAAAAAAATGTATATAACTTAATACACATACACATAAGTCCAAGTAAAAAAGGGGAAAATCTGAATATTATTGGATTGTATCAATGTCAATATCCTGGTTGTGATATTATACTATAGTTTTGTAAAATGTTACCATTGGGAAAACTGGGCACAGTGCACAAGGGATCTCTCCGTATTATTTCTTATAACTACATGCAAGTCTGCAATGATGTCAATAAATGTTTTAATTAAAAAAAGATCCTACCGGGGTGCCTGAATGGCTCAGTAGGTTGAGCATCCAACTCTTGATTTCAGCTCAGGTTATGATCTCGGGGTTGTGAGATCGAGCCCCATGTGGGCTCTGTGCTGAGCGTGGAGCCTGCTTAAGATTTTCTCTCTCCCTCTCCCTTTGTGCCTTCCTCCTGCTCATGAATGTGCTCTCTCTCTCAAATAAATAAAAAAAAAAAATAAATAAATAAAACAAAACAAAAAGATCTTATCAAAGATAATAAACCCTCTCAATTATAATAATATAGTAAGACTTGCATATTGGTAATATTAAGCTTAGGGTGTAATTAAAGGCTTCCAGGCATCGAAGGATAAGTGAATATGCTAATTATTCATTTATCCCATTTTTATATGTGATTATATCATTATAATCACAATTTTGTATATCTGATTGTTTTAAAAACTTAATGTTTGGGTGAAAAGCAGAAGAGGCCCAGATCCTAGACCTAGGAAAGATCTTAATGGCTAGTCTGTTCTAGCCGCTGGTCACAGAGGCTCATGTACAGCAGTGTACTCCCAAGAGGTATTTGGTATAGCCACCAGGGACCCTCTGCACAATATCCCCAATTTCCCTAGGGTAATAGCACTAGTAGGTTTGGGGGAAAGACTAGCATATGCATTTTACATGTACTTATAAGAACTACCATTTACCAAGGGCCTGCTCTAGTAGACTGCTAAATCTACATCTAATTTAAACCTCATGATGACTTTGGGTGAGAGGCATTATTATCTCCATTGTACGGATGAGCAAACTGAGGCCTGGTGACTTTAATTAACTTGCTCTGGCACCAGTTGGTAACGTGGGGGAGCCAGAGAAGAGTGTGGGTGTGTGTGGACCACAGCTGCCCTCTTTTCAGGATGCATACCCACTGCCTTCCAAAGGGGTTTCTGCTGTGTTGGTTCCTGAACGTACACATACGGGATATTCCCAGTGGGATTTGCTTGATCATTTCCTTCAGATTAGGAGTTCTTAATCTAGGGGCTATGGGACCTTACAGGATCCACAAATTGGTTTCAGGAGATCATGAGCCCACTGAAATTGGATGTAAATTTGGTGCATATTTGCACATATGAATTTTTCTGGGCAAAGGATCCATTGTTTCCATCAGATTCCCTGAAGAGGTTTGCGAATCAAAAGACAGGTTAAGAACCACTACAGTTAGATCCAAAGAGAGTTTTTTTTTTACCCCCACCGGAAAGTGTTTCAAATGCCCAATAACACCGACAAAGGCAAGTGATACATTTGGGAGAAATAAAATAAGCTGCCAAATCCTACATAGAAAGCAGGGTCAAAACTGCTCTTTTGTAAAGTCATTGCAAAGAGGATACTTGAAGACACTCACCAAATTTCATCTCTGTCTCAGCAGAATTGTTAAACGCTTCCCATCTACTTGTTCCAGGTATCTTTAAAAGATAGTATTTTTGACAAATTTGATATACGATGAAAGGATATCAAAGTACCTTAAGTTCAGGATAAGGACTGGTCCGCAGGTTTAGCACAAAATTGTGGCTGATGAATTTTATGTGGGCCGATACCTTTTATCATCTTTATCAACTTTTTAAGAAGATTTATTTATTCGAGAGAGAGAGCTCGTGAGAGTGCACGTGTGCATGCATGCACAGGGCAGGGCGGGGGAGGGTAGAAGGAGGGAGGGAGAGAACTGCAAGCAGACTCCCTGCGGAGCACAGAGCCTGATGCAGGGCTTGATCTCACCACTGTGAGATCAGGGCGTGGGCCTAAATCAAGAGTCGGATGCTTAACCGACTAAGCCACCCAGGCGCTCCTCATCTTTATCAACTTTTTGATAGAGTCAGGTGTGCAGATAGAAGATCGAGCAGCTATAACATTACTGCACTTGAACTGAAATCTGTGCTGGAAAATACATTCATTTTCCTGCCTCTGCACAAGCCCTTCCCTCTGCCTGCAACGCCCTTGTCCAATGAACTTGAATGCTGCATTTAAGTCCTGGATGGAGGTCTTCTGTGACTCTCCTGTGATCTTCCCATCTTTCTCCTCCCAGGCAGAACGGTCCTGTCATCTATGTGTTCTGTCCCTCAGTACACACATCCATCAGTGTGTCCTTGTCAGTGGTTCCTGTGTCTGTTTCATCCGGGCCACTGAGCCTCTGAAATGCTATACCTGTGACTTTTTTTGTATTCCTTGTCCCTAGCCACATAGTAGGTGGCCGGAGTTTGCCAGTGAATAAAACATTAGCTTCCATTTAGGAAGGCCCTCCTTGTGCAGGCTGTGTTGAAAGACACGGTTAGGTGTATCTGGTTAAATGACAGCGGCAATTACTTGTTAATGAGTAAATGAAATGCCTTTCAGTGACCTCCTGACTCACCTGTTGAGGAAACAATCAGGAAAAGTTCGAAGGCCCAGACATCTAGGAAGATAAGAAAACAATGAGGTTAAGAAATGGAAGGATTTTTAGGTCAGGAACAGCTAGGGATCGGAAGTGGGGGCCAGCACTCGGCTAAGCAGAGAGGGAGAAGTTTAGTCTGGTTGAGAGAGAAGAGACTTCTTGAATATGAGAATGAAGAGAAGGGAGAGATACTGGGTGGACTGAAAGAAGAATGGGGATCACTTGGGGCAGGGGTTAGAGACTCTAAATGGATTTATTCGACCCCAGGGACTCACTCTTAGTGACAGTCGCCTACACAGTAACATCTAGATTCTGGGTCTACTGCTCTGTTGCTTAAACATAGCTTGATATCTTGGATATTTCACTAGAATTACTGAAAGTGTGAGCTGCAAGGGGCCATAGAAATGATCTGGGCCTTTTTTTTTTTTTTTTAAGATATATTTATTTATTTGAGAGAGTGAGAACAGGGGAGGAGCAGAGGGAGAGAGAGAATCTCAAGCAGGCTCCATGCCCAGTGCAGAGCCCCAGCGCAGGGCTTGAGATCAGGACCTAAGCTGAAATCAAGAGTCAGCCACCCAAGGGCATGTCTTTTTATTTGACTGAGCCTCCAAGAGGCAGCTTTGAATCCAGCCCAGGAGACGCTCCGCTCTCATCGGGTTCAGCCTGAGGCAGGGAGGCATGTCTAGCAGCCCCCGGGAGAGGTCTCTATTCTGAAAAGTGTGACCCCAGGAAAGGTCCCTGACTGCAGGGGGTAGCTGCAAAGGCTCAGAGCCTGGTTTCCTTAAGATACAAACCAAATAAAGGCTTTCGAAGAATTAGGTAGTTAGTTAAAAACAACTTTGGTAAACAAGCCCAGCTTTTCCTCTTTATTAACATGGTATTTCCTCTGTTACAGGTTAACAAAGAGAGGAGTTGGTTTGCTGTAGAAAGCCTAACGAGCTTTTAGTTCTACCCTGCAACTCTGGGAGGAGGGGAAATGTTAGCTTTAGTTAAACTCTGCAAATCTGGGAGGGTAAGTGTTAGCAGAAAGCGGGGAAACAAGGCCGTAAAGCTGCCTTTTTGTTGGTTTGAATTGTGTGCAGATTGGATAATAACAAACATCTACCTCTCAACTTTATCGCTCTCTACCAGCTTGTTTACCTTGTCCATGTATGGCACTTCCAGCCATTCTGGCAACTCTGTCACGGGTCAATAGAGCGCACTAGTTGCACAGAACACACCTAGGGGACTTTGTGTCTTTGAGGTGTCTCCATTGAAATTGCATTCTCTAAGAAAAAAAAAAGTGTTGCACGACTATTTGTGCAAGGTGCTTGGTGTGTAGTTACGGGCCTAAACCTCTCTTCAATAGCTGTCGGGGGCCTAGGGGCTTGAGAGAGACCTGGAAAATCAATTCCGTCCGCATCTGCAGACCCGTTCCCTTGGGGAATGTGAGGACCCAGGGCGACGGTTCGCGGGCCCAAACGGGGCCCCGCACGCTCGCTTCCCCTTCCGCGGGCCTCCAGGGCGTGCTCCGTTTCCAAGCCGGGATCTCCTGCGCCCGGCACCCGGCGGGAGGACGCGGGAAGCCCCGTCCACAGGTTCCAATCCCCGCGCGCCCCAACCCGGGCCGGCAACGTAGCCCCGCGGCGCGCCGCGCCCCGCCCCGCCCCGCCCCGACGTGTCCGCGGGCGCGCGCACGCACGCAGGCACGGGGGCGCACGGCGCGAGCACGCGCAGGGCCGGGCCGGCACGGCGGCGGGAGCGCGCGCGGCTCCGGGAGGCGGCGGCGGCGGAAGCGGCGAGGGCGGCGGGCGTCCGGCTCTGAGGAGGTGGTGGTGGCGGCGACGGAGGCGGAGGCGGCGGCTCCGGACTGGGCTCGGCTGGGAGCGGGCGAGGGTCGGGGACGCCGGGTCGAGGGCCGATCCCCCGGCTCGACCATCCTCCCGCCGCCCGGACGCCTGGGCCGCGGAGTTTGTGTCCCGGCTCGGACCCCGGCGCCCAGCCCGGAGCCGTAACCTTGAGGCGGCGGCGGCGGGGCCGGGCCGGGCCGGGCCGGGGGGCGGCGGCGCTGGATCCGCGGCTGCCCGATCGTTGGCGGGAGATGTCGAACCCCGGGACGCGCAGGAACGGCTCCAGCATCAAGATCCGTCTGACAGGTACGGCCGGCGGGAGGCCCACCCGTCTCCCCCCAGGCCCCCCCACGGCCCTGCGCCCGCTGGCGCCCCGCACGGCCCCCCAGCAGCCCCGGAATTTCCCGCAGAGCGCCCCGGTGGAGTGGCCCTCCCCCACGCCGGCCGTTGTCCCAGGACCTCGTCACCCCCCCTCTGTTACAGGTTAACAAAGAGAGGAGTTGGTTTGCTGTAGAAAGCCTAACGAGCTTTTAGTTCTACCCTGCAACTCTGGGAGGAGGGGAAAT